GTCCCCACACATTCCCAGGGGGAGCCAGGAGCTAAGCAGCACTGGGACCAGGCAGAGAAATGAGGGGGAAGTGGTGGGGTGGGGGTGGGGAACATGAAGGGGAAGCAGCATCAGTTGGCACTGCTTCCCCCTTGCAGCTCCAGCCCCCTGGTCCCTGGAGCTACTGGTTCCCTCCCCACATTGCCCCAGTCCCAGCACTGCTTTCCCCTCCCCTATCTCCCCCCAGTCCTGGTGCTGCTTTGGGCACGGTGCATTGCTCCAAGCCAGTGCCACTGAGCCTCGATCCCAAGCTCCTCACGGCTGGGAGCTGTCCTCCACCCCCAACAGAGCACAGGCCTGTTCCCCAGAGCACAGGCCTGATCCCCGTGCCCCCTGCCAACCCAGGGCTGGCACCCGGGAGAGCCTGGAGCTCCCCCTGGCTGCTGCAGGGGGGGCATGGCAGGGCAGGGAGGCAGGATCAGCCCTGGACCGAACTGCTCCCATTAGGTGCATCCCGATGAGCACACACATGCAGGGGTATGAGTTTCTCACAAGACAAATAGCAGCGGCACATATTTGTGCCACTGCAGTTTGTCCCTCAGGCATGCCCCTGCATGCACACTGTGGCATGTGGCAAAGTGACCTGGGTAGAGGAAGGGAGGATGAGGCCAGTAAGTGTGCTGGTCCCAGCAGCCTTACCTGGGGTCCTGGGGACCTCCTGGGGTAGCAGGGGAACCAAGCTAGCCACTGGGAGCCCAGCCAGCAGATAGTGTGGCTCTGGCCAGCCAGGCTCTGGTTTCTGGGAGTGCACACTGCTGCCACATGTGCTACACCACTTTTTTTAGTGGCTTTTTTTTTTACACTGGGATCTCTTGGTGTTAAAAAAAAAGCCACTGCACTGCAAATTAGCAGCATGGTGAACAGGTGCACATACACCGTGTGCAGTTTGCGACACCTTACTTTGTGGCACCATAAACCGCATGGCTGTGTTCATGGGGATGTGCCCACTGTTAGCACATTTGCTCCTGATAGGGGTGCACGTGTAGGCGTGTGCATGGGAGCTCTTTAATGAGCCTGAATTTTCTTTGCAGAAAGCAAGAAAATTCTCCAGGTCTGGATGGGAAAGCTTGTATAATAAACTTGCATTGGCATTTACTAATAATGGCTTCATTAGCACTTGGAGGTAGCAGTTTCTGAAGTAGTCAGTGTGGTAGAGATGCTATCTTTTATTAGAACAACTAGTTAGTTGCAAAAAAAATAGATAGATACTTGAACAGGGAGAGACAGTGGACCTGATTCTGTAGTACTTTGTAATTTGAGCCAGGTCCTAGTTCTGGGACTATTTTGTATCTTTCCAGTGGCAGACGAGCACAAATTAGAGCATCCTTGACACTGCTCCAATTTGTACTGGAACCTGAACCACCCCAAATCCAGTCACAGTATCAGGTCATAAAGTTTGCATGTAGTTTCCTTCCAGCTTCCTGATAGCATGACTCCACTGCAATCACATGGCCATCATTTTCCCAACCCAACATTAGCTCTACTACCTCCCCTACCTTCAAAGACGATGTTACAGAGGCCTGGTTCTGGCAGGGTGTGCCTATCACCGCACCAACCAGAAGCAGGTTTCTAAGACAGTGAGGGGCAGCCAAAAAAAATTCAATGTAGTGTCAGACTACATGAACTTTTTTTTTTTAAATTTAATTTGTATCCGCAGCCAAATTAGCCAAAACTTATTCCTAATCCAAGTGTCCAGAACCATAAGTGACCCTACTACCAGCAAACATCCTCCACCTGCACTGGGGCCTCATATGTTTCCAAAACATTTGGCGGGCATCCTACTTGCAGGCCCAAGCCCAAAGGCTTGGGGTTCAGATGCCCCCAAGTTTTGCTTGCCCTCAGATCAAGCAAGGGAGGAGACTCCCATTTCCATACAGTGGGCTTAAAGCCACTGTACCTCGGCGGGGACTGGACCACTCCAGAAGAGCAGTTCTCCTGGGGTGCGGTTCAGGAAAACTGCCTTCTTGGACACAGATACATGGTATTTCCCCTGCCAGGTTAAGAAGTCACTACACTTGTCCTGAGCCTTCAAGAGGCATGAACTTTTCTGTAAATCCTGTTACATTTAGAGGTGGAGCAATGAACAGCCATTCCCTCTGCCTATATTGCTTTCTCCTGAAAGGTTCCTGTAAAAATCTGGTCAGAGACCTGAAAGCAAAGGGTGGGTGGGACAGTGCTGCAGTAGAAAGGATGAGATCTTGCCCGCGGAGCATAGAGAGGTGGCTCTCCTATAGTAATTAATCACTCCCTGAATTGTGCATCTTTGAGTTTCCTTCTTTCTTTTGTGTTTTTTGGAAAAGAGGTGAAGTATTTGAGTTGGAGCTATGTAGATCTCCTCTGTGCATACTCTATGTGCCTGTGATTTCTTCAAACACCAGCATTTGAAAAGCCAGTAAGCAGACTGGGGCATTCCCAAGACAGTGAAGAGGGTATGAGAGAACTACTGGTCTGTCAATTCATAAGTTATTTATTAGGTGAGAATTCTCAGGATGTTCTTAGAATAAACCTGCTATTTCTATTTAAAAAGCACACCTTTCTTAAGCTTTTATTTATTCTTCTCTTCGACCCTTCTAACAACCTACTAAATATTACATTTTCCTGTAAGAGTGACCACTAGTTTGAAGGAAGCTCAATTCTGATTGTATTTTTCTTATAAATCAATGTGCAGTTACATTTTATGGCAGCTAAGTTGGTGTAGTAACAGTTCTATCACTTATTATCTTAGTTCAATAGCAGCAGTCTGGTGGTTATGGGACTTCTGCTACGGTTACATTAAGTACTGCAGAGGAATCCAGCAGCATTGTAGTAAACGTATGGTAACTATCCAGCTGGTAATCCCAGACTCTGAATCAACATGTTTAATATTAGTAAGACTATAGTGCTGCCAGTGAGAGATTGTGCTACACATAAAAGAGTTTTCTGGTGGAACCAGCCCTCAAATACTTCAGTGGGAATTTGGCTTGAAAAAAGACTCCAGGAGTGGGCCTAAAATTAAAGTTCTGGTATAGTTCTGCCTTATCTTTAGCTTTCATACACAGAACCAGCCCTGCAGTTTGTGTGGGCAGCTGTGCTCCAGGTATGTTTGTACCGATTCCCCGCTTAGGGATAACCCAAGGGAGGCTTGACTTATCTGAAATTTGGCACAAGTCCCTTCTCAACAGACACTTGATTCAGGCTGTCCTAACCACCCTTAAGCCTGCTATCCCTGCAAACTATGGATGTTATCCACCCTGGAGCCTGCTGAGCCCCAGATACCACTTAAACTCCAAGTAAGTGATGTTTTGAGTTTCACATGATGCACAGGGTAAAGGTGGGGGATCTGCACAGCATTCTGCAAGCAGCACTGGCTGACAGGAGGCATCCTACCAAACACAGTTGTGTTGTGCCTCAGTAATCCCTGAGTCTCTGCAAACCTGCTGAAGGACATAAGGGGCAGTGGAGGAGGCTGCTTGCATTTTTCCACCTCATTATGCTCATCAAAGGCCCAAGCGCAGCCTTATGGCTCTAAATATGACTACACTGAACCAACAAATTATCTGATGTAAATTGGCGTAGTCCTATCGAACTCAACGGACTAGATCCTCACATGGTATAAATCACGGTCACACTGCTGATCAAAGCAATCCTACATCAATTTTCATCAGTGGTGAATCCGGCTCACTGAAATTACAAACCACAGAAAACTGCACTGTAGAAAATAATGGCTCCTTTGGAGCCATTACTGCCTGCTGAGCACCCTCCAGCTGCAGGAAATCTCACATTAAAAATTATCATTAAGACTTTGGGACTTAATGGTTGTGTAGGTGCAATATTTCTTTTTCTTTGTATATAAAAATGGAATACAATGAATCCTGCATATAATTTTGTAGAAAGCTAAACTTCACTGTACAGTGAAGTGGAAGGAAAGCCCTGAACTGTACCAGTGCTCTGCAGTAAATACATAGCAGTTCCTGTGACAGGTAGCCTCTACACCGTTTGCTAATAAAAATGTCTTCATTTAAATAGCTGTCATTATTCCAGACCTGTGACATTAAATTAATTTTTTTCATCTAGAAACAAGCAAAAGAACATCTGAAAAACCTATTATTACCTTCTCAATGTATAAAAGAAAAAGTTTCCAATTGTTTTGGTAGTGTTAGAGTGATGTTTTAGCTGTGATGATCCAGCTGAGGTCACTTGAGGGAGAATGCCTAGCATTCAAAATCTTGTTTGACTTATCCCATCCATGCAGTTGGTCCAATAAAAGATCATCCAAAAATACTCTTGTTTCCACTTGTCTTGAAATTGGTCCAATTAAAAATAACAAAAAGCAACCAAGTGCGCTCTAAACTGCAAAGTTCGCAAGATTTCAGTTTAATAGGAATGTTTAAATGAGTGGCTATGAAGCAAACACAAGAGTAGGAACCCCCAAAAACAAACCTTAGCTGTAGAGAGAAAACATTGCATACATACAGGGCCAGATCCTAAAGCCCTTACTCAGGCCCCAGTGTTGCAGTCAGCTCCATGCAGATGAACCCCCTTATATTTATGTGGGACCAGAAGGACCTCAACATCATCTCTGTAGGCATAAGGGGCCACTTACCCAGATCCATTCGCTGCATTAAGATCTTAGCTCTTACTCAGGAAAAACTAACTCCGATTTCTAAATCTTAGATGTTGGGAATTGATCTTGCTTCCACTGAAGTCAAAGAAAAACACCCACTGACTTAAGTAGAAATAGAATCAGGCCCAAGGCCTATACTTGTGGGTAGGTAAAATGAGAGGGTTATAGAACTGTAATAGCCTTATTAATATCAATGCTGATATTCAAGTCCTATAGGTATAATGTATATTTATAAATACCAAGATGACAGATTCTATAGGGTCCTTTGAAATTCTAAGCACATATTTTTGTAAGGGCTCAAAGAATGGTTGTTGGATTGATTTCTGTTTAATCTTGTGACTGCATATTCACTTTCTAGAGAGGATTGTCTCCAGCAGACCTCAGAGGCTCCGAATGATCTGTGACAGGTAAACTACCTATAACAGTAGCGTCAAAGCGGCCTGTGGGTTTGTTTTTATACGCAACCATTTAACTTTAAATGAGCTCTTCTGGCAAGTCTAGAATGAGTAAGAGGCACTTCTGTAGTAATAAGCAACAATAAGTTAAGCAGCAGATTCTGAAAGACTTCAGTAGGGATAGGCACAGTGGGTTTACTATTCTCAGACAAGCAACAATTCAACATTATGCATGACTGTTTGAAAGGTACAATTTGATTTATGAATCATGCTTTCCAGGCCCTCTTGCACAGACCCAGTGCAGATTGTACTACCAACTTTGCACTTTCCCAGCTTTGTGCATAGAAATAAATATTGCTAGAAAAAAATAGCTAAGCTATGCAAAGGTGCTGTCTATATGAGGCCAAAAAACGATTGCAGGATTAGCAAGGACTGGAGAATTCATATTCTTCTATGATCAATACCAACTGGGAATGGACTCGATTTAAGAGCTCATCCTAAAGATGATATTTCAGACAATGCAGGTACAACTTTTCTCAGTCACCCACAACAGTGCTACAGAATCAGCTTTAAAGTAGCCTCTGCATCCCCAACCACATACATATCAATGAAAGATATAATCTGGAAAACTGATTTTGACTAAGTGCCCTATTTTAGCCCCCTGGGGCCAGGTTTCTAAATTTAGAGGTGCTCCCTAACTGAGACGGAAGGGGTTGGGAACTGGGATATGATTCCTCGGGGAGCAGCTAGCCAGTTAGTCAGACAGACATACAGTCTGCAGGAGTTGCTTACTGCTCCAGAATAAAACCAGTTGCTTAATTCTTCCCATTCACTTATGCCTGTGTGTACTGAACCCAGTGATCACTACAGTCAGTACAGTACAGAACAATGCCAGAGAAAACTACAACCTAGGATCAAAGCCCCACTGTGTCAAGATGAAAAGACTATTTTGGCCTCAAAGACTTTAAGCTAATGCAGGTTTAGGGTGAGTCCAGTACCTCACTGTTGCATTCAGCCTCACTCTGAGTGATAACACACTGTCCTTTAGAGCTGGGTTTCTCAGGAACTGCACTGAATTTCTTAAATGAGATACTAATGTCTTTAGTACCATGCTAGTTTTGGAGACACAAATCGTTTTAATAAATGTTGTCAGAAACTTTCATAAATATATAAACTCTCTAATTTCTCAAGCTTAGATAACACACTCCCATTTAAAAATAATTCCCACTCTCCTCCAAAGCAGGGAAATGAATGTATTCCTAGTAATCACCTGGGATGGAACAGCTTCCTGCTCACTGGCCACAGCTCCTTGTTTAAAGGACTAAAGCTGGAAAAGCTCTATTAAAGCCAGTACCAATAGACTGGTCCCGTGCTGTGGTAGCAGAGTGCTGTATTGTGTACTGGTCCAGGATTGACTCTGTTTCTGCCTTCCTTGGTTAACTGCAGAGGCAGAATATTCATCTCTTGAGAAGTGAAGGAGTGCTTCAGACAGCTCAACTATGGCCCTGCTTAGCAAGTTATGGAATCAAATGGGAATTCTGTGTGGAGCTGGTAGCCATTGTGGAGCCTGGAAGATGGGGGTACTAGAAAGCCCAGTGACATGGCAAACAGCCTTAAAGAAGGGGTTGCTAAGCAGGGTAAAGGGGATCTTCCAGGCTCCACCAATATCATGACCTCTGAAATCAAGCCCCTGTGCAGGCTTGTTCTAAGTGTTGGCACTATAAGGCAACACCCAGTTTTTGATTCTTAGTCCCTGTATCTTCCTCCCTAAACCAGCAGGGGCTTACATAGTTTGGCTGATGGGAGAACTGAGTATTTTTCTATCATAGTCACTAAGACCTAAATTTGTACAAAAACAATTTTTTTTTTACAAAAACAAAACCATCCAGAGCATCAGGTGCTCTATGCAGTTACAGTGGACAATAAGCCAAGAAGGCTAATGGCACACCAGGCTGCATTAGTAGGAGCATTGCTAGCAGATTGAGGGAAGTGATTATTCCACTCTATTCAGCACTGGTAAGACCACATCTGGAGTACTGTGTCCAGTTTTAGGCCCCTCACTACAGAAAGGATGTGGTCAAGTTGGAGTCTAGTGGGGGGGCACTGAAAATGGTTAGGGTGTTGGGGCACATGACTTATGATGAAGAGAGGCTAAGGGAACTGGGCTTATTTAGTCTGGAGAAGAGAAGACTGACAGGGGTTTAATAGCAGCCTTCAACCACCTGAAGCGGGTTTCCAGAGAAGATGGAGCTAAACTGTTCTCAGCGGTGGCAGATGACAGAACAAGGAGCAATGGTCTCAAGTTGCAGCAAGGGAAGTTTAGGTTGGATATCAGGAAAATCTTTCTTGTGAGGAGAGTAGTAAAGTACTAGAACAGGTTACGCAAAGAGGTTGTAGAATCTCCATCCTTGGAGGTTTTTAAGACCTGGCTAGACAAAGCCTTGGCTGGGGTGATATAGTTGGGGGTGTTCCTACTTTAATCATGGGGTTGGACTAGATCAGTGGTTTTCAGTCTGTGGTCTGTGAACCCCCAAGGGCCCGCAGATTATGTCTAAGGAGTCCGCAAAAGACTACTACAGTCAATCAAAAGTATGTGAATACCCACACTTCAAATTCAAAGGGGTTCATCCATACCTCCATATGAAATTTCCAAAGGGGTCCACACCTCCATTTTAAATTTTTTAGGGGTCAGCAAATGAAAAAAGGCCAAAACCACTGGACTGGATGACCTCCTGAGGTCCCTCCCAACCTTCAGTTTTTGATTCTATATGCATCAGAGGACTGGAAAAGGGTAGGAACAGGAGCATGCCAGCACTGAGGTGTTGTTTAGAGGGGAAATAGCAGCTGGGGTGGTCAGTAGGAGCACAACAGGCCACTCTCTGATGGGCCACTTGATGCGGAAACATGATCAAAACAAACAAAGTAAAAGCTGTAAAACTAAAGCACTGTTTTTATTTGCTTGCTTGCTTGTTTGTTTTCTCTCTTTCACTTCCTAGTCCCCAGCTGCATTCTTCTCCAGGAGACACCACTTGGCATTGGCATTTGCTGGTCATTTGAAAAGAAACAAAACAAAACATTCATTTTGGGAAAGATTCATACTGGTGAATCCCCAACATGATTACAGCCTAACTACACTGCTAAACTGGGGCCAGGAGACAGACAGGGCATTGCCATTGATCTCTCAATTCTGAACACAAATCTGTAGTGGTCACTGGCAGGTTACACAGGGACATTTTCATATTGTCATGGCTCAGAACATAGGCGCTGACTCCATGGGTGCTCCAGGGCTCAAGCACCCACCGGAAAAAATTAGCGGGTGCTCAGCCCATGGATCCAGGCTTGCAGACATTAAAACAAAAAAACAAAAACCACACTTTACCGGAAGCAGCAGCACATTATTTCAACCTGGCTCTGCAGCATCTGTATAGATCGGGCACTTCAGCGGGGCTTTTTCGTGATTTTAGCTAAAGCTAAGGCTAAAGTTAAAGCTGATTCAATCAAGCTATTAAAGTACCAAAAAAGCCCTACTAAAGCACCCTTTCTTTACAGATGCTGCAGAGCAAGGTTGAGGTAACACGCTGCATCTGCTGTGCATGTGTGGGGCTTGGCACAGGAACACACCAAGTTAAAAGTAAAACACTGAGGTTTTGGGGGAGGGCGGGGTATGTCTGCAAGCACCCACCAGCAAAAAATAAAGTCGGCAGCTATGGCTCAGAGTATGACCATAAAAATAACTTATGAAATTTTAGCTATGATACATGTAAATGTACACCCTTGCCTACTGCTAGTATCTATTTTTATTCCAAGCTCCTTCTTCAAAAAGTAACAATTTATCTTCAAAAGAAAGTATGAGGGATCCAAAAGTCTCACTGGAGGATGGTGTGAACCAACATCCTGGAGGCACACACTTTCAAACTTCACTGAAATTCCCATGGGGAGCCATGCAGGATGTGCATCCCCATCACAAGTTTAACCAAATCTCCCAGATCTAATATCTCCTGGCCTTGACAAAACTTGAGCCTAGATCTGGTTCCTGCTTTATGTCCTAGATCCCATTCTGGTGCTATTTTGTTTTTTCTTGCTTTTCTAGACTGGGCAGGGTGCCAGGAGCTGAAGACCTGGCATCAAGAATGCTGAAAACATTTCCTAGAGAGCGGGTCTCTGCACAAGATGCGCTTGTCCATAACTTTTTCAGCCCTCTGCCTGCTCAGCTGCATCAGCTTCCAGATGGTATGTTAACCCCTGCTCCTATCTCAGCAAGAAGGGGGATGCTTCATTTGTAATTTGTCAAAGCAGTGCCACAATTACAGCAGGGCAAAAGGAGCAACTGCCCTGGATGCCAACTTGGGGTTGGAGGGGTGAAGGGGAGGTTGTGCAAAAAAAACTCTGTCATTGGCAGCTGCACAATCACGATTGTGATTGAACCAGTGGCATAGCTGCAATGGGAAGTCACTGCTACCTGTGCCCCAGGCACCCAGCCACATTGCTACACTGCTGGTCAACAACTTAAAAAAAAAACCCATAAGCTGCAATGTGGCCGAGTTGTTGCTTGAGCAACTTTAGCCTTTTTTTCCTCTGTCAACATGGAATCAATGCTAGAAAGGAACTCAGAAGAGACCTCAGTATTAGTAGTTTATTTAGAAAGCTGTGATTGTAAATGCATCAGTATAAAGCCACCGCTTCCTGATTCTGTACCTATAGATGCCTGAAGCTCCTTCCTAAAACCATATTTTATGTTTAATTCAGGTGACAGTTTACTCCAATATCCTGAATTCCCAGCTGCTTCATGTGATGTGTTAGCCCCGGTCCCCAAAATGCACCTTCTGCTCCCTTTTGATGTTCTGAGAAACCAGCTGTCCCTTATACCCTGTATACTAGATCTCCCTTGAAATTACCTGCCTTTTCTTCTCCTGCCTTCTGTTGCTCACTCATGAACATATTCACAAACATCTATCAGGCACATGCCCCCGCCATCCAACAGACGGAGAACCTACTGAGTTACAAACCTTCTTCCTAAACTGGAAAATCTCTTTCCCATCCTGCATAATATGCCTATCAGACTGGCCATTTCTCAGGGTCTCTTGGGCACTCATTTTTCTCTTTAGATATGAGTAATTAAGAGGAAACCTACTTGGAGCAAGTTGTCAAGTTATTTGAAAACTTCATTTATGGCTTTTCTAACATACCTCAAGCAGAGGAGCTGCGAGCTAGAATCTCTCCCAAACTGCCACCCTTAGAAAGGTGTTGTATGTGTGCAAGTGAGTGCAAGATCTGCATTCCTTTTCTGTTCACCCAGCCACAGAGCACAAATCTACTTTGACACTTTTAGAAAAATGAAAAGATGGAATCTCACAGGAGCCTGCCTGTGCTGGGGGAGAGAGGGGGAGAAGAGGGGAGCGCTCACAGCAGGAGGGAAGTTGACTTTTCTTTATACATATAGGGTTTTTTCCATGCAGAGTTTAAATTACGCCTGATAAAAGGAGTTTCGTGGATGTTTCAGTTCTTTCAAACCCTCCTGGCTTCCTCCCAATTAAATGAGGTTTGTCAAAGCCACAGGGCTCTGCTGCTGCCGGAGAGGCGGACAAGGACTTCCTGCAGTGACATCTCAAATCCCCAAGGGAGGAGATGAAAGTGCCAGTGCCAAGAGACAGAGAAAGAGAAAGTGTGGAAAAAATAGGTACAGAGACAGACAGAATGAGAGAAAGGGAGAGAGAGAAGAAATAGAAGGAATGACACAACAGATTGGCACAATGTGTCAATTTCTAGAACAAGGTTTATTATCTAGGGTGTATTGCCATGTAGGAGATGATTTCCTTTACCCTGGGTTTATATACCACCCCATATTTATCATCTCTGATACTTCATCCAAACAGCAGTGAGAGGTACCTTGGTGAACAGGAAACTACATGGCATTATCATAGCAACCAGTGTGTTGGAAACAAAATCAAAGTCTATTGGACTGAAAACAGTATAATATGATTATGCAAGATCATATTCATGAGTGACTCATTACGACTATAAAAATTAGGCAATGCTGAATAATTCCCAATGCATCCATCCCCATTGCCATAATCCTATACAAAGCATTTGTTCCCTGTGTCATGTTGGAATCGCATCATTTTCAAATTTAATTGCATCATTTTAGAATTCTGGGTGCTATGATAACAGTGCAGATTTTAAATATATTTTGTTCCTACTTTGTTCTGGAGCAGGCTGGCTATTACTTTCAATGTTCTGAACACGAAAGTTCAGTCAGGAGGGCAAGAAACAAGCTGGAGGTAGAAAGTAAAAAGGGGCTTCAGTTTCCAGAGGTGTGGGGAAGGTGGGGGTGAGGGGTAGTGGGGGAGAAACAAAATTTAAAAAAACATGTTCCAGCCAGGAGTCCTTTTCTCTTTTCTGAAATATCTATAGCCTGAACTTCCTTTTACATAAGTTGCCCTTAACAAGTTTGTAGCTAGAGAATACCTCCCAAAGGCCACTTTCTGTAAAAAATAATTGGGGAACCTCTGTCTCTGAGGTGAGAGCCCTTCTAAATAACAATTTTATGCTATTGAAATGAATGCTAATGAGAAGATAGAAGCTGCTGTCACATGAGGCAGTGAGGTAGAGAGAAGGTGTGCAGGGAGCTCTTAGTTTCCTCTTGGTGAACTTGGTGAGCAGAGGGGATCCAAAATACTGGTACTTTGTTTTTTCTGGATGTAAAGTGCTGGAAAATAAGGGTAATCCATGTTGATTCCTCTCTAGTGGCTGGTGCCAATGGGAGGATAAGAATCTACCACAGCAGCCAGTTAATGGAGCAGCTCTTTCATCTCTAGTGATAGAGATTCAAGTTTTTGGTGTTGTAAGCCCTTGCTTCAAATTCCACCAGTAAGTAGTCCAGGTGGGGTTGATTACAGAAGCACCGCAAGTTTGGTGAGACTTGTAAAGTGTCAGGAGAGGGCACTCATGATCATCATCTGGTTTCCTTCTAGCCTGTCTTATAGTTTGGAAATGGCAATTTTAAAAGGACAAGTTTCTTTGGGTGAGTCTGGTATCTTTTAGTAGATCAATTAAAATAGTTGGAAAAATTCTTCTTTGCAAGCTTTCAAGTACAAACACTCTTTTTCTGGTAGAGGAAGCATCTGCAGTTATTATTTTAAAATGACAAGCTTTTGCAGGTCCTTCCTGCTCTCAGACAAACTAGTGGAGTTCTGGCCGTCTCTGGTCCAGCCCCATGCCACAACAGTACCAGTTAAACCCCATGCTAACCTTGGGCATCCTTCCACTGTTCTGGCTCAAAGTTTGTTGACAACTGAACAATTCATGCAAGAAAATGGAGTTTGCCGAGTCAAAAACACAAGAGGCTGAGAGCCTCCTGCCTCAATTTTCATCTCAGACTGCACAGGTTTCCTGTCAAAGTAGCCCCCAAGTTGCCCCCTCTGCATTGTCAAACCTAAGGCAGAGTAGTTTGCTGCTACTTATTCTTAGTGGTAATTTTAGATTATTTTTGATTAGTCGTGCCCTCAGAGGTTTTAGAGCAGTCTTTCTGCCTAGAAGGTGAACAGCAGAACATGAGAGATGGCATCGGTACATTCCCGCAACAAGCACTTTAAAACCAGAAAGCAGCTTTGCTCAAGAGCCTGCAGTGCTTCTGACTGCATTGATTAAGGGAGCAAAGAGCCCTAAGTTCAGGCTCCCCACAGGACGTGAATGCCCAGTTCAGCAGTGAGGTTTTTCACAGCTTGGGTGACATGGAACCCTAGTCAAAAGACCAGCATATTGTCTGTGCGCCAGCAAGTCCAATTTATAACCTATTTTAGGATTTTAAGTGGTACATGGGGCTGTTGCTTTGCCAAATGAGGAAGTTTGCTCTTTGGGAACTGATGGCTTGAGAATATAAAAATCAATTCAAAACCAGTGTTTGTATTGAATTCCACTGTTTCCAAGACGTACGAGAATGTTTCCCAACCAGCTTCTGGCACACAGGCTGCATCTACACTATGCTGATCCTCCCTAAACTTCCCAGAATTCTCACTGCTGCTTCAGCTTGGCAGAAAGGAAGGAGCACTGGGGTTGACAGGGCACTGACATTTTAATCAATTCCTAACCTGGCACAGAGAAGGCCTAGGCAGCATTGGATAAGGTGCCACCATCTTGCCTAGCCTAGAGTTTCCACTACTGCCACTGGTGAGGCTGCACTGGTGGGAAATGATACTGGAGCACAGTGTGAACAGTAGACAGCCTTAAGAAGGTAACTGTCTGAAACAGTCTCTTGAGGGATGTCACTGCTTTCACTGGGTTCTGCATCATAGCTGAAAAGTATATCCACACCTCTGCATCCTGAATGTGGGAATCCTCAGGTCTCAAGATTAGACATCCTACGCTGAAAATTATACTTGGATGCATAGGAAGTAAGGATGCAGTAGATCTACACATCCCAATTTTACTGTGCCTTACAGGGAGGTAACTTGGAGTTAGTATATTGTGATACACAAACTAAAACAGTCCTTGGAGTGAAGTCACGGATGAATTGTTTTCTAAATCCCTACTCACTCGCTCACTGTTTATGCAAGTAGAGCTCCCACTGACCTCAAGTGGCTTGACTTTCAGACACCATTTTTTATGGCAGATTTGCCTATGTAACGACATTAAGAATTGCAGGTTAACTTTGTGGCCTTAAGCTGCAGCTCTTGGGCAGCACAGACATGCCCCATATGCCTGAAGCACAGGTTTCTAGGAACATAGCCCCTGTTAAAGCGGTTGAAAAGCGCCAGAAGTGTTAGCCTGGAGCAGACACTGTGCTTTCAAAACACAAGGAGAGCAGAAAACGTTCTGAACACAAGGAGAGCAGCCCTTGAGCAAAAACTGTGGAGTTTGGGCCATCAGAGTTTTGAAAAAAAATAAATGTCATAGACAATCAACCAAATGCTGCTCTCAGTCACACAGATCTAAATCCAGAAGAACTGAAAAATGGCCCTCAGTTAATGTTGTGGGAACTACATATCTGTGACTGGTGAGTGCTTCTAATCCCCTTGAATAATGTGGGCACCACAGATTCAGAGTGTTTATGCTTATTTTGTTTAATTGCAAAACTAAGTTTTATCTCACACTTTCCCTTTAAAGCACTTGAAGGCAAATCAAAAAAGAGATTGAGTTGTCTTGCTTGCCATGAAAGGTACCGAGATCTGTGATACCATTTAGTCACTCTTCACACTTGGGTGCACTTCTGCCTTCCCCAGTTATCAGCAGAAAAGAGTAAATGGAGTGATCAGATTTCTAAGCACAAAAGTTAAAGCTAAGTTTGAAAGGGTGACAGCAAGCAGCTCTGAGCCTAGGAACTCAATTAGTCTGAAAGACAACTATCTCATTATCTTTCCAAAAATGATATAAATACATAAGAATATAAAAATTTAAAATAAACTCTCTCTATTGACTGTCTAGATGACTGAATTTCCCTTCTCAATTTCTTTAAACACCCACTTTAGTATTTATTTATTCTAAGCGCGAAGCAGCTGCAATAATTAGACTGTCAGATTCAGAAAGTTAATGAGGAGTCACTGGAGTGGAAGGGTTTGCATTTGTGAGATTGCTGAAGGAGAGAAGCTCTGTGCCTTCGCTCTATCTCTTTTTTCTTTTTTCTTTTTTTTCCCCCCTCCACTGGGTGGGAAGGAGAGAGCTTGGCAGCACAAGGATCGATTTGAATCCTTTTGATTAGTGGGTTGCATTCCCACTCCTGTTCTGCCAAATAATGTTTTTGCTGTTGTTCCTTTTTGGGGGGGTTAAAAAACGGCATGATGAGATTTTTAGGGAAAAGGAAGAATTAAACAATCCCTCCTCCATTCTTTCCTTCCTCCTCCAAAAATACACAAGGAAGTGAGCTGAGAGAAAGACATTTCCAAGCTACTTTAAATGCCAGGTGATGTGAACAAGGAGGCTAGAAAACCAGTAACATAAGATTTCCCTTACTCATTCTTTAGAAGTGAAGGCACTGTAAACCAAGGAAGGGTGACTACTAGCTCACTGCTACCAAAACCCAAATAAAAGTTACATGGGTGTCTAGAGTTAAAAAAATCTTCCTCTTTCCACTGGCTAAATAATGTCTTGAGTTAAAAGGGCTTATTAATAACCCTGCAAACATTTGGCGATCTTCAAAAAGCATCTTTACACGCATCTAACTGTTCGTAGCATCGGTACTGAGACCACTTACCAGATGATGTGCTTGTAGAGCTAAGGCCTTTGGAAATATGTTTATACAGCATCCTAGACTTTGTTTTCTAGATCATCAGTTCCCAAGTTTTTGGGGACAATGGATCACTGTCAAATCTCAAAATTTAATGTATACCACCAAACACCCAGATGATACAACTTGTATTTGAAAATCCTGTATGAAAGCAAGATAAAGTCCTAGTCTTGTACAACCATGGCAGACCACCAGTAGCATCTAAAATCCACAGCTTTGGGGCCACTGATTTGGAGTGCCTGCTACTTAAGTAGCACATTTTTCGAAGTCAGGAACTAGGGACAGTCACAAATTGATGCAGATCAGAGATTTAGCTGTATAAACAGCAATTCAGCCAAAAGGATTTTTCTAGATGAATTCTGTTGGCACACAAAACTGTTTCTCTGAAGAGTGGCTTTGAGGAACATTATGCAGATCAGAACTTCACTGAAGGCCCAACTACTGTTGCTGAATCGCTTTTCTCTCCCTCCCCACAAGCCGAGCTTTGGAAGCACAGTAAATTGCAGTGGTGTTCTGTACTCCCAGCTGCAATAAGGGTAGCCACAACTGAGCAGGTGTGGTGGGAAATATATTCTTTCTGTGGTCCTCTCCTTCACTTTTTCTTCACAGCACAATCACTGTTTACAGTCCCAGGAGTGAGGCTGCAACCAGAAATCTGTGACATATTTGTTCCTCACCAGAAGCATCATCCCCAAGCCAGTTCCAGCAAGTTCTGGTGAAATATCAGAATGATCAACTTCCTTTTGGGTAAGGAGCTAAAAGAAGAGAGTTTTGAGCTGCAGCTTCACCGATCAGGGCCATTCGGAGACCCTGCCTCACACATGCATTGACATGGCTCCAAAAAGTTTCTCTCCCCACCCCCCGCAACCCTCGAAGGAGTGAGCAGGGATGTCCCAGGAGAGCAAGCGCAGCTCTAGGTCTGGTAGGGGTGGGAGACCCATCAGCAGTTGGAGGGGTCTCAGTGGGGCAGTGCCCTGGGATTGTCCATCCCATTCTCCCTCCTTCCCCTGTGCAGACAGATGTAAGCAAAAGTGAAACACTCCGAAATAGTACCTAATTTCAAGAGATATTCCTGGGAGTTTGAAATGTTTCAAAGAACAAGCTGCACAAAGGCATCTGAAACATTTTAATTGTTACATCTGTCTACACTGGCTCCCATGCACCACACCCAGAAATGCAGCAAAGATCTCTTGTCTCCCCTGTGCTTGATGGTAGGCACAAATGCCCCCAGAGCAGATTTACCAATATATGTCTGGGTTTGGTGCATGTCTAGATTTGGCAGCACGTGCATTCTGTCCAGGGTAGGAATCCCTACACTGGAGTTTGTGAGCCCATGTTCTCCCAATGGATGGCTTCTATTCTGTGGTCCTCAGCACTAATCTGCTCTAACCAGCCACAGATCTGGAGACTGGAATTTATCATTCAAGCTTTTACACTTTAAATCTCAAAATGCCAATAAGGGGATGTATTCCATATACCCAACTATATTTTCTTCTGGAGTAGAGGTGGGCACCACCAGGTCACTCTGCCTGATGAATCACCAGTAATGCAAAGCAACTCAGCTAAGGTTATTACAGCATCTAAGGTGCCCTGAAGATTGCAGCAGCCTCGGGACTGACTTGACTCTGCTACCACTGATATTTTTGTAACACACTGCCGTTTTGCATGCTACATGTCAGATTCTGCTTTCTGCGTAACACCAGGGTAACTTCAGTAGATCTATTTATTTTGGTTTTAAATAAGCATCAGAAACTGCCCCACTATGTATTCTCCAGTGCCTGAACAGTGCTAGGTAAAAATGCTAAAGCTGCCACATCCTTGTTTTTATTTGCTTGTTTCAGTTTTAAAGGCAAATGGCTAACAGAAAGCGATGTTTCAACATGAAAACTTTTTTTTTTTTACTTGCTAGGGTTACAAGTAACACCTGTTGCTGAAAGATCATGGGGCTTCCCAGAAATAACTACAGAAACATCCATTTTATCCAGTTTGCTTACATTTAGCATTTGAGAGCAGTTTGTGCATACTCCAGGAATGCTCACCCTGCAGCACACAGAGCCATGACGTCAGGCCTGCAAGGACTCCCCACAGGTTATAAAATTTGGTGGTAGAGGAGCAATGGAAGTACTGTTTCCAAATTCCCACGCCCCACATGGGAGGTCAGAGCTAGGCCATGCCCCCTCCCCCCTGCATGGCCAGATTGGGGTTGGGCCACACCACCTCCCCCCATGCATCCAGGTCACACCCTGTTGTCCCCCACCAATGGAGCCATGCTCCCTCTACCCCACCCCGCTGTGGGGCTGGGTTGGGGCCGGGCCATGCCCCCTCCCCACCATGGGACCCAGCTAGGCCCCTTCCCTCCCCTGCAGGGCTGGTCAGGACTGGGACACGTCCTCTCCCCCCACATGGTCAAATTGGGACCAGGCTGTACCCTGTACCTTTGCATGGCCAGATGGGGCCTCAACATGGCCACCTGGGTACTAAATTGAGACCACCAGCTGGATTTGGTCCATAGGCAGACCAGGCACTGCCCATCCAGCCCACTGGGGGAGAAGGTTGGGCACCACTGGTCTGGCCAGTTTCACAGGTTTCTTTGCATAGTCAGAGGGGTCCTGGATCCATAAACACATGTAACATTCAATTCCACTGAAGTCTCTAAGCATAGCCAGTTAAGTAAAATTATGCTCATGCTTTAGTGTTGGCAGAATCAATGCAATACATTTTTCTGCTAAAGCTTCTGTCTAATGCATTTGAAAGCTTGTCTAACTTCATCCCAACTATGCAGTTGGTCCAATAAAAGATATCACACCACAACAATGCTTGCCTCCTGCATAATTCCTAGATCATTATGGCTACAACATCACTCTAAGGCAGGGGTGGGCAAAATGCAGCCCACGGGCTGGATGTGGCCCGCCTGGCCATTCTATCTGGCCCACAGGCCCCCCCACAAAATTTAGAAAATTAATATTTATCTGCCCTGGGCTGCCTGTCATGCGGCCCTCGATGGCTTGCCAAAACTCAGTAAGCAGCCCTCCACACAAAATAATTGCCCGCCACTGCTCTAAGGCTACCACACCAACATTTTTAAATACCAAGCCCTACAAAAATCAGCAGAGACTGGCCCTCAGGGTGATTCAGGGATGTGTATAAAACCTTAAACTACTCTTAATGGATTTTTAAAATACTGACTAGATTTCTTGTTGATGTTCCTTTTTCTTCCTCACTTGCCTTACATATTTAACAAACTTAAAGGTCAACTCATACCCTCTTCCACAGCTTAATATGTAAGTAGGGTGACCACCTTTTCCAAATTGGAAGGAGGGACACATGTCCACTTGCCCTGCCCACACAGCATGGCTGGAGCAGAGCTGAATGGAGCCCATGGGAGGTGGGAGCAGGCTGCCTGCTGCAGGTTCAGGGCTCTCCACCCTACTGTCCTGCCCCTAGGAGCCTCATACTGGCTGCGTCGCCATGGCAAGGCACCCCCTGCTCTCCCCAGCCCTTGTAGGCTGGAATTCTGCCATCCTGCAAGGAGAAACCTGCCACTTCCCATGTTTTTCTGTGGTGAACAGAAAACAGATCCCTGCACGATACTGCGAATTTGGGATGAATGCTCTCCCTGAGTCATGCAGCCCAGGACTGGGACATGATGTTCCCATTTTGGGACTGTCCTGCCCAATTAGGGATGGGTGGTCACCCTATCTGTAAAATGTAATCCAGTGGTGCTCAACCCATGGCCTGCAGGCTGCATGTAGCCCGTGAAGCCTGAGCAATTGGCCTGCCACCTATGGGGCTCTGCATATGCAGCGAGTTCTCTGAGCTCATCAGCATGTCAGTGCGGACTCTGGCCAGAGCCACTGCTTTCACAAGGTTCCTGAGCCCAGGGGGTGAATGCTGCCACTGGCAGGGAAAATAGAGGGTGCAAATAGCAGCAGCATTAAGCCTGGGAGCTCTGAAGCTCTGTGAAAGTAAAGCCCCAGACTAGAGCCTGCACTGACATGCCACTGAGCACCCAAAGCTCCAGCAGTCATTTTCTAAGCCTCAGCCCATTTCTGATATTTTTTTGGCCTCCTTGTAAAAAAGGTTGAGCCCCAGTGATGGAATCCAATACTTAGGTTTTTAGAATTTCTTGGAACAAAGAGCTGTAAGATTTCATTAGTAACTTTTTAAAATAATGGAAACATCTTTATGACAATGATAAAGCATTTTAAAGGAATCTAAACTCTACTAACTGGGCATCTAATAGATAAGTATTGTGCTGATACATGAGAAAATGAACTTGACAAACAATATAAATGACCAGCCTACTTCCATTGTTCAATATGATGTAAATGCAAAAATAATTAAAAATAAAATACTAAGCATACACGGCTGAATGGTGGCTTTGCTGTGAACTCACCATAAGGGGCAGCAAATTGTCACTATCTCCTTGCCTTTCTCCCAGTGATCCAGAAAGGAAATAGGCTATGCTACATCTGTGCCCAAGGAAATATTGGTTCGAGGCCAAAGCTCCATCAGTCTCCACCTTTTTATACTTCCTCCAATCTACTTTTCTGAGTGGGAGTTTAGGGGCTCCCTGGAGCCTCTCACTGGTAATTTAGAATGCGGATAGATATTTCAGGGGCCCTGTTAGCACTGTGTGCTGCTATGCTACCTAGGCCATAGTTAGGTTAGCATTCATTTTTAATAATCAACATAACTAAAAGGTAATATAATAACCCAAGGGAAATATTTGGAATTATGATCCATTTTTTAAATTTTAATTTATAAATGTATTTTATCAAGAAATCTCTCAGTTCTTACCCTGATAGTGTCCTGCGGTTATAGGGGCAGATCCTGCTGCCAGTTATCCCAGCCTGCTTCTGGAATTGCTCCTCTGAGGTCAGAGAAGCTACAGGACCATTTACACTGGTCCTGTAAATGGAAGAGCCTGGTCCAGGAAGTTTCACTTTTTAAAAAATCATCTTTCAGAGAAAAGAAAGGATCTGATATAGATATCCTGGTTTCTCTTTTGTTTGGCTTTTTTTGTTTGTTTTGTTTTGTTTTGTTTTTGACGTGTCCCCCCCCCCAAGAACAGACTGTCTTGGCAACCAAGATGTAACAGTGCAGTCTGGACCTTCAGAATAAATCCAACCATGTGTCACTTAATAGAGAGATCCCTGGACCAGAAGATGGATGTTCAAACAGGACAGATGGGAGCTGACAATTGAAAGAATGTCAAGACTGATCCAAGGCTTACAGAGCCCTGTCACTCCTGCGGTTTGCCTACCATCCCCTCCAACAAAGGGAGCTCCTGAGGGAAGGAGGGGATTAGTCTATAAAGTTGAGTGAAGTCTCAAGGGAAGATGGTTTCTTGGATAAAGTTGTCAACAAAAGGAATTGTTTAAGACTATTTGTTATAATTTCCTAGAGGAAGCTTCTGCCATTACTAACAGGATTATCAGTATACTGGTTCCACACCAGCGGAGCATTAGAAATGCACATTGTGGGCTGGTTGCCTAGAGCTGAATTGAGAGGTCTTCTTATGTCCAAAATAAGTGTAGGTGTTTATGAGCATGGAGGAGGCGAGGAATTAAGGAGAGCCAAACAAAGATTGCTTTTGGTATAATTATTGCACTGAGCATGGGTGTATGAATGAGTTATAAGCCTGTTTTAATCTTCTTGATCTCTGAGCTGCTGACAGACTATGAATAGGAAAAGTACTCCTGGTGGGGGAAAGGCTAGTGGGAGTAGCTGAGAGATCTCACCCAACCAAAACTCCTACAGCATTTCTCAGAGGGGCTCTTCGGAAAGTTAGGGAAAAAGTACTTCAATATCGGTGCTATTGTTCAGGGGGTCAGCAACATATAGCATTCAGGCCAAATCCAGCCCGTGGAACCACTGGATCCAGCCCTTGAATCCAAAGGACTTTGGTAGTATTCTGGTGGTGGCGTGCTTCACATGCACTCACCCCAGAGCTGGGCATCAAGGAGCTGTGCTGGGGCCAGGTGGATGCAGCTGGATGGTGGGTAGAAGCAGGCACAAAGAAAAACTAAAGCCACAACAGCAACAGCAAGGAAAAGTCACTAATGCATGTGAAAGAAGAATTTGAACAAAAGGAATGAACAAAGGGGTAAATCCTGGGTTGGGCTGGGCCTCATTAATTTTTGTAAGACACACATAGCTTCCCTGTTTTCCCATCCACAGTGTCATCTGACTCTAAAGCCACTGTGATAGGATGGCAAGTGCATGAACTGCGTCCTACCCCTATCCATTGGGTCCATGTAGGTAAGTGCGAGGCCAAGGAAGGATGTTATGGTGTGCAGATTCCATCACCTCACCCATTACAGAAATTGATGTTCTTGTTCCAAAGCATCTTTCAAAACTGTTAAAAATACCTTGGTGACTCCCATGCTTACACAGGGGGAAAGTACTTGCCTGGCTTGGGCTCCTGATCTTGGATGCATGTCTTCACAAGGAATAATTCAGAGGACAGGTTCCTGTTTAGTTCCAATATAATGGTCTCATTTACATCCCCGTGTTGTGCCTGTTTGCAGGGATTGCAGGTTCTGTGAGTCTTTCTCTTCCTCCACCAAACTGTCCTGAACTGAAAATGGGTGAAGAGATGGATTGTGTCACTAGGGCTAGGGACAGACGTTACACATAAACTGGTTTAAGTGATCAGTAACTGGTTTAAACCTATAACAGGACAGATGTTCAGTGCACATAAACCAGTTTGAAAATGGCTGAAATCAGTCTGAGATAAACCTGGTTGAATGTAGTATCAGACTTAACTGATTTGGCTCAAACCTGTTTATGCAATGTCTGTCCCAGATCCCTTGCTGGTTTAAGATAAACCAGACTCCCCCAGCATGCTGGCATACTCCTTGGGCAGGGCAGGGCAACAGGGCTGGCCCCTACCTTTCTTTCCCTCACTAGAACTCGGCAGAGACTTGTAGGCATGGCAGGGTCTGCCTGACTTCCCCCTGCCCTACCCCACCCTCGCTGCTCAAGCAGGAAATCCCCCTTCCCTCTCATCTCCCACTGCAGGGACCTACAGACCCTTGGCATGTGCTATGCTAGCTAATGCAAATGTGTGTGTGTCTCCAATTTCACTGGGCCAGGCAGACAGAGCAGTGACTGCTTAGGGCTGTTTGGAGCTAATCAACAGCCCAGCTGGTTAGCTGTTTAAGAAGAATAGAATTGGGTTCAACGTAGACAAATGCAGAGTGCTGCACCTTGGGAGAAGGAATCCACAGCATACATACAGGCTGGGGAGTTCCCTTCTTGAAAGCACAGAGTCAGAAAGGGATCTTGGAGTCATTATTGACTCCAAGATGAACATGAGTTGCCAATGCCAGACTGCACCCAGCAAAGCCAACCGCACCTTGTCGTGCATCCAAAGATACATGATATGGTTTAATTCTCCCTAAATTGAAGCAGTGTTTTTTTAAAAACATCACTTCAGTTTAGGGTGAAGTAAACCTGCATGTCGTGTACACTCATGTCTGCTCAATTCTTACCTGCCTCTCCAGGAGCAGGGAGGGGAGAGTAAGCTGCCAGCGGGCCAACCAGCACCCATGCTTTGCAGCGGGCGGGT